AGTTGCACAATTAACATCCTAAATTTCGAGGACCAGTATAGCACAAATTCTAGCTACTGGCGGGATTCAAGCGATCTTACTACAGTTTACAGAAAAAAGCGTGATCTCATGAACCGACCAGGTGCGCGTTGCCAATGATTTTGGACGAAACACATTAATCACAGTTGGGCTTTGCCTTACGAGGATTTACGCCTTCTCGATGCATGTAGGATTCCAAGCCGAAAAGAGGGCACAAGTGACGTAAATATGGCCAGCAACTGGCGGAAACAGATAGCCGGAGAGGTAACAACATGTCAGAGTGGTGTCTTTGCTTGCGTTGCATCTCCGTAATTCCAAACTGAGGGTCCATTCTATTACAGTTATTCTTTTTGCTGCTGGGCTTATGAATTACCACTTCACCTTTGAACAAAAGACTGACATAATTTTATTCAAATTGTATTATTTGTCACGAATTCTAAGATCAAATTCAACGTTCAGTCTGAAATATCTTAATTGAGAGCAGAAGATTACTTCCAAACTTGGGACGGAATAGTGTCGATGAATTGGGATTGGTGATCAGATGTTTTTTTTGTACCTCAATTATCCGGGCAGAAAGAAAAAGAAACTTTATATGTTGGCGCAGTATTTTTTCCTTGCTCCTGCACAGTAAATAGTCGCGTCTTAATCTAGGCTTGAAAACGCTGTCAGGAAGAGATGGCGATGTTCAGTACACATTAAGTAAACTTTGAAGCAGCAAAAGCCTTACCAACTGCTTATGTTCCAAGAACTGCTGTGCTGATAATCCCGTCAGAAGACGAAACGAATGTCAGGATTGTTAGCAAGCTGACCAGTAGGCGATACAGTATGTCAAAGTGACAAGGAAAATTGCTAACTACAGAAACAGAGAATCGTATGATATGTTATAATAGATGCTTCAGATATTTCAGCTTCGATTTTATCGCAATAACCGACACATTTAGTTGTATTCCAACAAAACCTCTAACATCAAACTTTCACAGTCACTCGTCCGAGCAATTCTGGCGATATTATCAATAAAAAAATTCCGCGAAAAATTACCGCACAATTAATGGTTCTTTTTGACTATTTTACTAAGACTGTGCACAATAACCGGTGTATCAAAAGTGAACACGGGATTATCTATGTTTTACCAAAAATATTCGGACATCGTGACCAGTCACCCTCTTCT